TACACTCCTTTCTACCACTTCTTTCTCTTTTACTCCGACGAAGGACTAGCGTCCGAAACGTCAGTAAGTTTTTTCATCTTTTCACGGTGTATAATTCAACCTTTTCATCATTATTGTTTCATTAGAAACACCGACGCAGCTCACACTAGTTTTTAGCTAGTTATATCTTCTTAATATCATTAATATCAGTACAAAAATATTTTTTCAGCTGGTTTATTATATTGCGATTAAATTTCCAATTTTCATGAACCATTGAAGTAAAATGCGGTTTTCTCATGAAATTCAAAACGCGGAATCCTCTTACCAGCTAATCATAATTTTACTATATTACTATCCTTATGGAACTGAACAAGAGTTTTATATTATTTTAGTTGGCAAATGGACAACTGAAGAAAAAGAAAGTTGGTGTGGAAAGAAAGGCAAAGACATTCTCGACAGAAAGATGACAGTTAGAGAATGCGAAGTGGACTGCGTAAATAAACTACAGGACGAATGTGTTGGCATTCAATATATTGAGTCATATCAGTATTGCTCTTATTGTAAAAAGACAGACGGAGTTAAACCATACAAATTCYAGCTTGATACCTCACCGGTATATTTCTACGGAAGACGTACGTAACAATTTTCTTACACATTAAAATATATTTTGTTTGAAGTAACATTGGATTGCAGCAATAGACCTATCCCGAATTCGCTTGACTGACTACGAAAAATGGTTTGAAGTTGAGACTGAACTTGATTCTTTTATTCATCAAGTTCAACCTCGACTTGAAACCATTGTTTCGTGACCAGTCAAGCGAATTCGGGATAGGTCTATTGCCACTCAATAGCTCCTAATTCATCGTGGTCCAATGCTTTCCCATTTCAAACCACGTGCCATTTCCTAGAGTATCATTTCTTTGTTTAACGGTTGCACATGAGAAGACACATGAATATGGATACAATTGAAACCAAGAATCTTATTCTCAAGAGAGTGACACGTGGTGTGATATAGTTTTCTCATAGACCACGTGTCATCCTCTAAAATATCACTTCTTTGTTTAACGTTTGCACATGAGAAGACACATGAATATGGATACAATTGAAACAAAGAATCTTATTCTCAAGAGAATGACACGTGGTCTGCTTGCTTTCTCATAACAGACCACGTGTCATCCATCCTCTAAAGTATCATTTCTTTGTTTAACGTTGCGCTTGAGAAGACACATGAATATGGACACTGTCATTGTTACTGTTACTTTCGCTGTCACTCAGTCACTGTCAGTGTCAATGTCACTCAGTCACTGTCACTCAGTCACTGTCACTCAGTCACTGTCACTCAGTCACTGTCACTCAGTCACTGTCACTCAGTCACTGTCACTCAGT